TGTTATAACCGATGGCAACAGAGTGCTGTGAAGCAGCAAGATTTATTCACAGGATTACCTGAGCACCTGAGTCCCTGAAGAGATCTGACAAAACAGAAGATGATGCTTGCAGCAAGCACTTCTATCACTATTAAATGGTTCTGCACTTCTGTGGAAGGACACAACTGGGCTCACTCTCACAGCTCAGACATCCGCACACCCAGTCTGCATAGTGCCAGCAAAAATAACACACCACTACATCTTGATTATGTTGATTAACAAAGCACAGCTTTTAGAAGTGTCAACACCAGTTAAGAGGCCAAAATGCTTAAGTCCCTTACTGAACTACAGCAGTGGTTGGTCTCTTCCACTGTTTCCAGCATCACCATTCCTCTCTCAGTGAAACTAACAGTAATTAATTACAATAAAACACGTTATTACTACATTGGAAAACATTAAAAAAAAAAAAAAAAAAGAGAACATATGAACTAATTCAGCCTGGTAATTTTCAGCATATTCAGTGTTTTATACAGAGTGGACCTGCCTAGATAATTACCACATGTTACAGAAACACGAGGTCTCAATATTTAGACAGACCATACTTTCTGAATCAATATTTGGAAAAGTCTCAGCTTTGATGCTCATTGCAAGGTACCCTGCTGTAACAGGGTGAGACCCTGCTGACAGGCTGAGAGAGCTGGGGCTCTTCAGCCTGGAGAAGAGAAGGCTCCATGGGGACCTCATAGCAGCCTTTCAGCACCTGAAAGGGGCCTGCAGGAAAGCTGGGGAGGGACTTTCTATATGGGCAGGTAGCGAGAGGATGAAGGGAAATGGTTTTAAACAGAAAGAGGGTTGATTTAGACTAGATATTAGTAAGAAATGTGAGGGTGGTGAGACACAGGAACAGGTTGCCCAGAGAAGCTGTGGATGCCCCATCCCTGGAAGCACTCCAGGCCAGGCTGGATGGGGCTCTGAGCAACCTGGTCTAGAGGGAGGTGTCCCTGCCTATAGCAGGGAGTTGGAACTAGGTGATCTTAAAGGTCCCTTCCAACCCAAACCATTCTATGATTCTATGATAACAGCTTTCAGATGCACTGTCTGTTGCTATACAAGCTTCCAAAATGCACACGCCTTGAATACTGGCAAACCCATCAAGGGTTCCCTCAACTTGCAATCAGGAAACCTACGTAAAAAGATAACATGCCTCTTCCCCAGAAACAACCAGGAAATTACAGGCCTTTTTTTCATTCCATGACCTTCTGCATAACATGCAGTGTGTTCAGAAGGCAAAGCTGCTGCTCTTGGAACATGCAGTAACAACACTATAGTTTCCCCATCTTCTGTCAGTAGTGACAACCACTTTGAACAATGCTGCTTATTTCTACTTGCCAAACCTGTGATTGACTGCTCATCTGGATCATTTTCCATCTGTCTGTACTTACTTTGGTCTGCTAGAAACTGAAGGAAGACTGGTTGCAAGCATGGGCCACACGGGGCTAAGGGGATGGAGACAGAAATGGTTCACCTCCACTGAAAAGCAATATTGTGCATCAGAATTTCTATGAAGTTCATGACAGGAATGCTTTTGGGTGTGAGATAAAGCTGACTCAAAAACAAACTACGTCACTTTAAACTTTGCTCTTTCCATTTCCCACATGTTTGAAAACAACAGACCCATGAACCAGTCTCATCTTTGCATCCTTACAATGAAGAACTGATACAAAACAGCAAGGCATCACTTTCCCTTTTAAACAAAAGGCCTCAATGTTTCTACTGGACTTTGTGACACCACTTACCATTTAGTACTTGGGGTTGGTTTGTGGTGAGCTCAGTTACAGACTGCAACTTGGAGAGGTTAAAAGAAACAAGCGCGGCACAAAACCAGACCTGTTGTGCTGGTTTTCAGCTCTATCGGGGTTAAAAATGCTGGTTCAGATTCACTTTTGGGAACATGATCCTCCAGCAGTGACTGAATGCCTGCTTTGTCAGCTACCCGGCAAGGACACGGGGTGCACCGCACTCAGTGCATTCAATTCCAGAAGTGCTACTGGATGCCAATAGTTTTCTCTAGCAGAGAGGCCGGGGCGTACTTAACAGGATAGCAGATGTGCAGGGGAGTTTTTTTGGAAATAAACAAAACAAAAAAGCCATCAGCATTTCCACTTACCCATACCAAGAATGCTTCAAGCAGCCTTCCCTGTTATTGCAGCAGTTAAAGTTCTTCTGAATATTCAAAAATGTGCTGTTAGCAACCTTTACATAAAATTCATAAAGGAGACTTCTTGGCTTAAAGATGAATGCATTAACTTTTAAAATATTGTTCAATATTTTGTACATGGGCCTCTTCTACAGAGCAGATTTACCAGACAATCGTGATAGTACAGAACAGCTAATAGTGCCACATACACAGTGCTTGAGCAACCACCCCATTTCTGCCTCCTTTTTGATTTCACCTCGCCGCCCAAGGAAGCTTCACCATCAAAGGCTGTAAAACAGAAAACTGGAAGCTGCCAATATCCAGGTAGATCTATGGCTCTTCCTCCTGAGCTTTTCCCATCTTTGGCTTAGAAAAATCACAGAGTATTGCTCTCACAGTTCCTCCAGGCTGAAGCGAATGCATGTGATATCTGGGAGTACTTTTTGCAGAGATTCCTTTTGGTGCTGCTATGAGGCACTAAGTTTGGCATTCATCTCTACTATTATGAGCCCTATCACCAGTCACCACAAGCTTCATTTTTTTTTTAAATTTTCCTGCCATCCCTGTATAACAAGTTCATAGCTGTTCCACTGCGCCAGCCCAACCAAGGCGTAAGAGCAGCTGAGCCATGCACTCTGACTCCATCTGAGCCTTTGACTACTTTCAGTCAGGGGAGTTTCCTGAGTCTGTATTTAGAACCCTTCAGGACTATCTTATCCAAATATTGCTCAGCTCCCCTTGATTCCATTAAAACTCTGTCCGCAACATCATCTGGCAAAGGGTCCAACACGCCTGTTGTGGTGCTGATGGGGAGCCCACATGCAACTGTGCACAGCTTGGGATTCCACTCACTGCTGCTTCCCATCTCCCAAGCAGATGGGTGGAAAGGAATCCCCACTTCTGGTTTCCAGGCTACTCACAGATTCAAGCAGGTATGTTCACACCACTACCTATTTTTTAAGTTGTCACAAGGTGTTGGTTTTCCCCCTCAGATCTCTCACAAACAGAAGCCAGGTTACAATCCACAGGTTGAGAACACACTGCAGTAACACATGGGAGAAGTCTGAGAACACCTTTCTTCCCACAAAACAGCAAATACCAGAAATGTGAGTTTCCTCTACAAGAAAAATTATACAGAGACAGGTTCCTCCACCATTCCTAAGAGGCAGCACTAAGATCCTCAAGCACCACAAGCAGCAGCACCACTGATCCTGATGAGTGCACACCCATGTCTCCAAGTACCCAATGCTGAACTGTACTCACCAGACCCCTTCCCAACCACACTGCTGCCACCACTCCTGGTCTGTTTTTCTAGAGCAGAACCTGATCAGGCTGTCAAGATGGCATTCTTGACACGCTGCAGGAATACATCACGTGGCTTAGCTGCACGTAGTTGCTGCACAGCAATATTTGGTGACAATTTGGGGGAGAAAATATTGCTGTCAGCCATTTCATACAAAAATAAAGCTGGTTGCAGGATACAGAAGTTTTTCGCATTAAAAAATGGTTTGGGTTGTAGCACTCTGATCAAAATGAACATTTGCATCTGACACGTTGCCCCAAGCAGCCCACTCCCAGCCCTCAGCTATGCCAGGGTTCCTTGTTCCCTGCAGCATTCCCGGTGGCTGCATTCCAGGAGGGGGCAGCCTGCAAGTGCTTCATACAGTATGTGAAATGCTTTGTTTATCCAAAAATATTTTAGCTCCAAGAGATATGAAAGAAAGATTTAGATTTCAGCATCTGCACAGTAAAGAGATGCAACTCCTACAGATACTGCCAGAAAGTTTCTTCCTTGAGCCTTCCTAGCTGTAAAATATATTTTGTAAAAACAGAATTACAGTAAACCAAAAGTTGAAGCAATAATAATGCAGAATAATAATAATCATTTCTTTATAAATTGTTATAGCAAGAAGAGAGAAGCACAAGACATTCAAAGGGTGCCACTGCATTCTTGCTCCCTTTGTTAGGAGCAGATCAAGATAGGAAAACCCTTCTGCTGCTGAGAGTAAAACAAAACTTATGGGATCCTCCCCACTAAGTGGCTCTGCAAAACCAGAACAGCACAAAACATAAGGAGCTTCCCTGCAGCCTGACCCCCAGTTTCACTGCAAAAGTGAAATCTAGCTACCAGCAGATCATCTGTTAGCACTGAAGTTTTACAATGTTCATACTATCTTAAAAATAGACATCTGTCCCTAGCTTGTTATTTCAGTGATTGCTTAAGATGAGGAATTAAGCACATCAGTCATCAGAGACAAAATTGTGACAGTTAACAGGGCAGGACTTTCAAACAGAACACTCAATTCAACACAACTCAATCACCCTCAGTTACAGAACTGGAAGACAGGACTATTTAAAATGTTACGGCTCAAAAGCTGCAAGTACCTCCTTTTCCAGCTGAAAGCCCTTTTCACTTAAAGATGGCATGCCTTCCACATACTTAGCTCCTGATCTCGACAACGGCGGTAGTCCCACCACACTGTCTCAGCAGCAGCTTGTTCAGCCTGGAGAAAAGAAGGCTGCGGGGTGACCTCACTGCAGCTTTTCAGTACCTAAAGGGAGCCTATAAACAGGAGGGGAATCAACTCTTTGAAAGGGTAGATAAGAGCAGGATGAGGGGAAATGGTTTGGAGTTGAGGGAGGGAAGATTTAGGTTGGATGTCAGGGGGAAGCTGTTTGCTGTGAGAGTGGTGAGGTGCTGGAACAGCTGCTCAGAGAGGTTGCAAATGCCCTGCCCCTGGAGGTGTTCAAGGCCAGACTGGATGGGGCCCTGGGCAGCCTGAGCTGGTATTAAATGGGGAGGTTGGTGGCCCTGCTTGTGGCAGGGGGGTTGGAGATTCATGATCCTTGAGGTCCCTTCCAACCCTGGCCATTCTGTGATTCTGTGATTAAGGCACTTTTCAGTACCCAGTCCTTACTGAGCTCCACAGGCTCTCTGTCCCATAGCTCCAGTTGCACGTTTCCTTGGGCTGTGGTTTTGCTGTTGGCCTCTGCCAGGAAATACCCAACCACAGGCTGACTTGCACAAGCCCATCGCTTCTACTGGTGGCTTCATTCATCAAGGGGCTTATCTCAAACTGCGCTGCAAATGTAGAAGTGGCTATATGTAAAAATAAGAAGACCATCTCTTAAGAAAGTGATATGGAAGTTCTGGAAATGCTTTTCTGCTAAGTTCACTAGATATAAGTTTGCAGCAAGACAACACCATAAACTTTAATATGTTTATGTTACAAAACACTAGCAAGTCCTCTGAAGCATGACAATAATAAAACAGCAAGTTTTGACGCTGTCAAAAACGTTATGTGCAGAAAGCTGTGCAGTTTGGTAAGCTATTTCCTTTGTTGCGAGGTACTAACCGAGGCACAGATCCTCACAGTTTGGGTCTCACCCACAAGCTGGAGTTCATTCTGTGGTCAGAGACCTCAGGCACACAGAACTGCAAGAAGTAACACCAAGACAATTAAGTATGCATAAAAATGAAAGCAACAAACAAAGTAGGTTGGAATAAACTTTGGTCAGTTGAGTGAGTCCCCTCCATGAGGGCTCATGATGAGACCTCTGGCACTAACAAGCAGAATTAACCACAGATTTTATGTGAAAACTCAGCTTAGGCCAAAGCTCAGAATAATTTCATTCTCTAGAATACCAAAGAATGTGCTACCACTTCAGCATTTAACAAGACACAATATCAAGTGTAAATCACAACTGCTACATGACAGTAAAACCAGACTTGGCTATTTTTCTTACAGCAGGGACAAAATTGGTTAGCACAAGGCACACTAAGTACCAAATCAGCTTAAAAGCAACATAGAAAGCCATCTGCAGTATTTCCTGAGGCACAAAACCAAAAGCAGTAAATCATACAAGATTTTGCACAGTGTCAGTAAAACCAAAAATAGAAAGGAAGGGCTGACCCCACCTCCAGCGGCTGGGGTCAGGAAAGCAGGCTTCCTCTACCAACAGGACCTCCAGGTTTCACCACAGCCCTGCTATCTTAGAAAAAGTAGAGACTGTTTTTTTTTCATCTCTAGAGACTTGCCTTACAGCATACTGGGAGAAAAGCCTTGCTCTTAACCAAAGTGAGACAGGCACGCGAATAGCACCAGGGCTGCAGCACACTTTGAAAGTGGGACAAGGTAAAAACCATAGAGGCCTCAGGCTTTGGAGCCAGTGCAAAGAGCAATATGCAAAGCAGCCCGGTACTGCTGAATCTGCACGTCAATCTTCAAGCAGACAGAGGATGCAGCTCAGATGCGACCTTCAGGCTCCCTGTCCCTTCACATTCTTCTGCTCAGGCTCCAAAACCTGCACAATGACAATGGCCCACAACACACACGTATTGGCTTCCTCCAGTGAAATCACCCATCCACCACAGACCAAACAACCACTGCCAGGCACCTATCAGGCCCTGATTTAAATCAGTGGTATACCAGTTCATTAGCTTTTCACACCACTGCAGATGGAGGAAGAGAAAAATGTATTCCCTTCAGTTGCAAAGATTTACAAAGGTTATACTCCCCACAGAGAAACCATACAGCACTTATGTCTTCTTCAAAGACATGGAAGCTGAATTAATTACAAGCACAGAGAAGCACAGTTGAGTTTGTGAACAGCTCCACCTTCCCAGATTTTGCTGACCAGAAACCTCTCCCCACCTTGTGATGCTGGTGTGAGGGGAAGGAATGCTGAGGGCATGCTATCATGTTACCCATTCTTTTGCACAACCGATCTTACTTTCCGAATCTGAAGCAGAAGGTAAAGAAAGGATGGCACGGGCACAGCAGCTGCCAAAAGGATTGAAAAATCCCAAGAACAAGATGTTTCCATGTCACATGTAGTCACATTAGCTTCACCTTCTGCTTGCATTCAGCAATTCCAGAGTTACAGCCACAAGATTTATGCTCTCACTCTGATGTCACCTTCCCACATGGCTTCCTGCTGTCACAAGGTGTTCACAAAGGACCTGTCACAAGCCTCACCAACTAGATCAGGCACCGCTCTGCTGCCTCTTGCTTAATATGGAAACTGGAGGATTAAACAAGCTGGGGTTGGAGAAGGTAGCTGGAGCAGGTGACTTCCGAGTGGTGCTCTGCAAGGAAATCTGCGGTAAGAGAATACAGAAGTTAGCAAAGGTGCTGGTAACACTGTAAATCAATGAGTACTTGATCTCCAGAGTACAGGAAGCTGCTGGAGAGAAGGGCTGGTGCTGAGGCACAAGATACTTTACTGAGCCTGCTAGTGCCTAGACTCACTGTGGGTTTCCTATGCAACCTCAATGCTTTTGCACTCTGGAGAGTTTTGCCATGCTTCTCATATTGTGACAAGGCCTGTGCTCCTTCTTCTTTCTGACAGCTGCTGTGGAGAACTCTGATGCCGTACCCAGCTGCCAAGCTGTGGTTTATGACAGTAGTTCCCTGAGGGAAGTGAGGTGTGGAGCAGGAGGAAGAGGGACCTCCCTGCCGTGGTCCCCTCCGTAACACACAGTGCTGCAGGGCTGCGCTGCTGCTGCACAGACCTGAGGGATTCACTGCGCTTTCCAAACGGGTTTGTCAACAATGAAAACATCACTCTGGCATTTACACCATTGCCATTACTCAGAGGACATCTCCTGTCATGCAACTGTTACTCGAGTTTTCCATTAGTCAATAAATGCCAAACGGCCTCTTCCAGTTCTAATGATTTAGGAATGATTTTCCCAACTGACTGAGGAAAGCTGCAAAAGCACTAAATTGGCAGGAGAAAGGAAAATGAGCTCCAGAATGTATTTGCAAATTTGACCAGAACAAAGCATTGTATCCCTTAAAGGAACAATGAAACTCTATAAAGGGACCAAAAGCTGCTGGGGCTACAGGGAAACCTCATGTTTAGGACAAGGACCGCCAGCAGCAAGCACCTCCCACACACCACAGACCCTGAGTTCCCTCCATAACGCCTTGTTCCCGAGGAGTAACTCCAACTTAATTCCAAAAAGAGCCCTGGTGCCACAAAGTAGCAAAATCACACTAAACAAACATGTTTGAAAATGTCTGTTTCTGCCCTTTTCTGTATAGCAGTCCAGTGACTGCCTCCAGTCCTATCACTGATACCTGCAGTGAAGGAAGTACTTTGGGAGTTGGTCACCCCAACATAAGAAACAAATATATGCACCAGCAGAAACCAGCTCCTCAGAAATACCAGCAGTAGAACAACCTTCCCACAGAAGCCACCTTTACCACAGGCCTTACAACTCAGATGGCCTTGCATCTAGCAACAGCCTGCTTTTTGGCAGCACCATTCCCAGCTATAGGCCTCTAAAGCAACCCCACCTCAGGGTCAGCAGCAGGAATCTGCTCCACCCCTCCATCTACAAGCCCTCTGACCTGCCAAGGAACTGCAAATTCCACTGGACCACCTCCTTTGCAGGGAGGGGATGCTCTTTTTCCAGCCAGCAGCCACACCAGCTCTCCTCTCCTGCCCCAGGGGTGGAAAGCTGTGCCTGCATGCTAGCAAGGTCCTCTCTCGCAGCTCCACATGCTGTTGTCTTTTGGCTGCTAAAGGAAGAAGGCTTTGAGCATCCTCCCACATTCCCTGGAAACCAGACAACCACATCCACAGGCAGGGCAGTTCACAGCCCTGCAGGGTGCTTGCTAACAGCCCAACAGCTGAGCAACAGCACAGCGAGGTATGCAAAGAGGCTGAGCAGCATCGTGGCTGCAAAAGGTCCCAAAGTAGCAGCAGGTTCTGCTGCCATCTGAGGTCTCATCAGTAGGTCTTTGTGCCTGTGGTTAAGGACAGATATGTTGACTCAGCAAAGGTGGCTGTTATTTGATCATGGAGTTCCTCTCCCCCCTCCCCTTGCACATCCATGCTCAAGCTGTGGGAACGAACCACACACCCAGGGTGCAAGCACCCAGCAGGTCTCTGCAGTGAGCTGGGTGCTGCTCTGCAGAGGGCTCCCTGCAGCCTGCCATTGGAGGAGCAGTGCTGCCCTCATCCAGCACACCTCATTCACAGCAATGGAACACTGATCCCAGTCGGAAGAGGGCTGGTTCAGAGCCACCCAACAGGTGCAGGGTGATCCATTTTGTCTGCTAACAGTCAGTGTGACATCCTCACTTAAAAAATATAAAAACACTATGTGAGCTACCAGACCTGGCTTTAGTGGTGTCAAATCCTTCCTAGAAGACAGACAGCCGAGGTGCCACAGCACCCCTGTGGGATGCTATTTCTGACATCCAGAATGGAGTGAGGTGAGTTTATGGACGCATCCCTACAGTCCCAGCTCAGTGATGATAGGACAAGTGCTTTCCCTACTGCGCATCTTGCATAGTTTCTGGCTGAAGGGTTATTATCCAGTCTGCAAGCAGAGGTAATTAGTTCAGTAGCACAGCAGCGCATCTTACAGGCTGAATGTCAGCATGGAGCTGTTACGTGGAACTGCCTGGAGGACCATAGAAACATCCTACAGTTCTTAGGATGCACTCTGCGTTTAGGCCGTGAACATGAAAAGACCAAAAACTGTTCTGAACACAGAAACAAGATTCCCTGACTGCCAACAAATGAAATCTCAACTAACGAAGCCAAAAGATGTTTTCGCATACAATTATTTTGTATTTTTGTCCAGCTACAAACAGACAGCGTTAAAGCAATTACAGCACTTAAGGGATTACAAAGTTACTGCAAACAGCCCACACTTAACATGCTGAACGCACTGTGATATTAGCTCAGGTCTAATGGGAAGAATCACAGAAGGGTTTTAAAGACTGGCACGCACTCAACAAAACAGCAAAGGAAGTTCCCTGCAGGCAGCCACAGCAATGCCAGGCAACGCGGTGTGCAAGGATGAATGGAGCACTTGGGGTTGTAACAGCAAGACCCTCAGCCTCAGAGCCCTCCAAAGCCCCACCTGGAAACACCAGCCGTCATGGCATCCCCTCCCAGCAACACTGCATGTGCCTGTGGACATCAGGATGGACGGATCTCTGCCTTCTCAGTGCAGACACATGTTTTCGTGCAAGTGTTCCCCAACAAATGCTGAACGAATTATCAGAATGCAAATCATCCACATCTGATGAATGTCCTCTGGGCTCTTTCTGAAGTCTCCTTTGATAAACCATCTATTTATATTTCAAAAGGGAGAAAACTGAAACAGGAGATTATACGTGCATAAAAACAAAAGCAGTATCTGACAAGTATTTGTTTTTAATTTGCAGATAACTGCTCATCACTGCAAAATACAGCTTTTGTACTGTTTCAAAGCAAGTAGATAAGAAACCCTAAGCTATTACTAAATATTGCTTAGGGCAAACAAAAATCTCTCCCACCCAATGGCTGCGTTGCTGTATAACCACATTTTGACCAAGCATCCACCCTGGCATCCCTCAGGTACTGCAGGACACAGACCACCATTCTGCCCAGGTGTTTCATAGAAGCCTTCCCACCAGGGGCCTCCACACGCTCGCATCCACCCCTTCCTCCCCTTCCTCACTCTGCTGTAGTTTCTTTGTATTCCCTTCTCCCTGGCACACAGCTATCCCCACACTACCTTTGCTCAGCACTCCAGCTGCAACCATCCAACTTCAGCAACCCGTGCGATTTCAAGAAACTGCAGCTCAGCTTGGACAGCACTGCCCCACCTGCATACAGACCCAGAGCCAGCCCCATGCAGCTACCCAAGCCTCCTAGCACACACAGCACCCTGTCCCAGGCATACAAGCAGGGCTTCGGCAGCCTGGCATGGTGCTCAGCTGCTGAGCACAGCTTGCATGGTACATTTTCACTTGACAGCAGCAGGACAGCTCACACCAGCAGAGTACATGAAATGCCATCGCCGTTGCAGGAGGTCAGTGTGTGGAAGTGAGAGATTGTATGGAATCAGTCCAGAGCAAAACTTCTGAAAAGCACTGTTCTATCTACAGAGGCACAGGTTTATGCTGCTATGAGAAGCCAGTAAACACCACTGTTGTGACTCCTTTCCAACCAAGAGTAGTACTTTAACATTCTGCCTTAGGAAAGGTGCAGGGGTGGGGCCTCCTGTAGGTGGTGCGAGCTGTTTCTCCCTGTAATCCTTGGTTGTTTTGCTAAGGTTAAGAATAAAAAAAAAATGTTAAATTCTGTGCACTGTCCCCTACAAAAACACTTTGCACATAGCTGTCAAGCAAGAGGCAGTCACACATTAAATAAAACCATACATCAGACAACTGAAGACAGTGCAGCAGAGTTTAAAGCCCACCAGCCCTGGAGCTGACCCTTCTGCACCACCACCTGGAATAACAGAGGAAGGAGTGGTGAATTTAACCTGGAACGACAGAAAGGTGCTGCGTCCTGCGCCATTTTCAAGGAAGTATATACGGTTAGGTCAGGGTCAGCAGCGACCCTGCAAAGACACTGAGCACGAGGACTTCCATCGTGCTGGATCCTGCCAGCTGTCACCACACCATGATTAACAAACGCTGTTGGGTGAGGACACAGTCCCTCAAAACCTGAGCTGTCTGCTCAGGGCTCCCTCTGATCTGCCCAAATACCAATTGCAAAAGTTTCAATACTCTCCCACCCAAGCAGTTCGTTGTATCAACCTGCCATTTTAACAAATCCAAGCACGAGGCATTAAATTCCACTAGAACAAATCTCAGCACTCCCAGCATTAAATTTGCAAGTGACGTTTAATGGCATAAAGTGCAGGCAAAGCTGAGCTAAGCCATTAATGGACCAGCGAGGAAACCTCTATGGCTCCATGATGCAGTGCTCTTTTTAACTCGAGGAAATGATGGTGTGGGCTACGCTGGGCAGGAAGAGATACCAGCAGCTTAAAAATGCGCCTCAAACTCCAGCAGCCAGAGCTGTGTCCTGCAGACCTACTGCCTGGCATGCTCTGCAGACAGCTCCAGAGCAAGGAGCGCACACACCACACACCAGGGCTCCCCGCTTCCCTGCTGCAAGGTGCTGTGCAATCCTGCAGCTTTCTGACCACACGCGCAGGCACAAGTAAAGCCTTACTGTCAGGAGAGATGCTTTTCAGGTATTTGATTATTCACTTACATTGTAACGGACTACACACAACACAGGGAAACTAGTTACACCTGGGAGTTCCTTAGCACGGATATTAACTTTAACAACCAAAATCAAACTTCCAGCAACCTGGTTTGTGAGAACTATAAAGCAAATTTGGGATGAAACACACAAGAACCCAAGGTTTTGTGCTTTTCCTCTCTCCTGCATTCCTCCCAGCTGTCTGGTGGGGGATAGAGACTTCACTTATAGAGCTGCACAGCTTCCAGCCCACAGCACGGAACACAGCCCATGCCAACACCTGTGTGCTGCTTTCCTGGATGCAGAATGCCTCCAACGATGCCAAATTCTTCGGACAACACTGCCAGTAATGTGGGAGCACTGGTCACAGGACACTGATGCTCCAAAAATCCTCAGGGTCCGAGCTTCTCTGGCTTCAGCTCTACTGTACACAGTCAGTTTCATTGTACCACATGAGTCCTGTAACTGAAAGCAGCACCTGCTGCAGTTTGAGGAGAGGTGAGGGAAGCGACGACACAGGGAGCACAGGCGTACAGGAAGCACTACTGAGAGCTCGCTGCTTCTATGGGCCCTGCTGCCTTGAGCAGTCAGGTGCTATTCACAGACACCTGCCTCAAAGTTACCTGGGCACTTTGGTTTGTTACATTTCTAGGTATCAAAG